TTTCCTTTCTTCTTCCCTTCCTCCCTCCTTCCCCCCTCTTCTTTCCTTTAAATGTGTTGTATCTGAGAATTTCCAGAAACATCAAACTCCATGCAATGGTTTTGCTCCCACACTGGTCTCGTCTTTGTGCTCTTTCCTGCCAATCACCGATGTGTATCACATTCTATTCGAATTCATCTCCTTATGTGTGCACTCTAACATTTTAAAAACACTATGTTTCAGAAACACACGACTGGGTGTTGAGGGCCATGAATTATAAATTGAGTCTAAGGGACGTCCATGCTTATTCTTTCCTGTCCTTGAGCCAGACTGAAATTCAAAAACTCCACGCTGCCCTTTTCTGGTCACAGTGGGAAGCCCTGGGGCTAATGACTGCTATGGGGCTCACAGGGCAAGATCAGACCTGCTAATTAGAAGGCACCTGAACAAATGACAGTTTCCTGTCTACTCCCCCTTACCTCGGCTTATCCTTGCAAGAATGTTTTGATCTTCCTAACCCACTGTAGTCACCATTACTATTCCCGGAAACACCCATGGCCCTTCACCCGTGGTCCTTGACTCAGATGTAGTGAATAAAAACTGAGGTTCTGGGTGGCTTGTGGTCTTTTGTTCTCTGAGAAGTACTGGTCATGCCAGATCCCTGCCTGCATTGCTATTTCATCTCTGGCTCTCTTTCTTCCCGCCTTATGCCAGGCAAATCGGGCACTCCCTGCAGGGGTCTCCAATAACTGGGAGCACAGGTTACTGTTTTTTCTACTACATTCCTGCCCTCAAATTTAAAAATCAGGCCTGGCTAGGGAAAATAAAGGAAGAAGGAAATAACTGATCTGATTGAGTGAGGCTTTTTCAGAACATTTCTATGGGTTTCATAAAAGGTTAACATGTGGCCCACGGCCTTTATTACTAAAAGTGTTCTAGGTTGAAAATAAGCATTCCATTACTTGAAATAGAGCAGCCTACACAAAGACACTCAGGGGCATGGAGAAGAGTTTGGTGCACTTAAAATTAAAGGCCTCCCTAGTTTCATTCATCTTCAGTCCATCTCAACAGCGAGAATTGGTTGCTTCATTTATTCTCCTTTGCAAGAAGAAAATCCTTATTCTTACCTTATCTGTGCTGCATGTTGTTGTTTGTGGGGAGAGAAGGAGAGGAGAGGGACAGAGAGAGAGCAAGACAGAGGGAGAGAGAGAGAAAGAGAATGGGAGGGAGAGAGAGAAAGAGAGAGAGAGAGAGATTTGGACCAAGTGTTCGGCCCAAGGACAATACAGTTTGCCATACAATAATTGTTGCACTTGTGTTGTGTTTGCTCCAAGCATCATAGTAGAATCTATGGTTCCTGACACATTTTGAGCCAGAAACAGAATGATGTATATAACAGTAAATGGGATAGAGCTCACCAAAGCAGTGGGCCTATTTCAAAGGCAAATAAAACATGCTGTAGGGGTCTAATGAAAGGCCATTTCTGAAGAACAGATGGGTCCCCTTCTCCCTGCACAGGAAGGATCTGTGAAAACTGAAAAGCAGAATGAGAGGATGGAAGACTTTAAGGATAGGCATTTTTGAAGGACTATTCAGAAAAAATTTAGACAGTTGAAGGATCTTTACAACAATAGAAGTAGGTTGGGGTGTTATCAGTTTGTGCACCATTTTCGCTAGTAAGGAGGGAGGCTGCTTATGCTCATTTTATACAAACCATGCTGCACTGAATCTGCCTCCAAGTCTTGCTGATAATCCCCTTAGTACTGCTTAAATGTACTCACTTAAATTTAATACTCACTGAAAATTTTGTCAGCTTATTTTTGGCCAAACATACTTATGCAGTTAAAATAAAAGGCAAATGTTGAGCCTTTCATTTGCCTGAACCTGAAAGCAACTTTACAAGATATCATGGCCATCTGTATATATGGGGTAGCAGCTTCTGAACTAAGTAGATCATCAAATTAAGACTGTTTTTCTAGAATTAATGATTGAATAATTTCAGCTAGAAACCAAGGCCTCACTTCCCCAAGGCCTGTTAGCATTTCTGGTCCACTCTGACATTTTCTGTGGAAAGGATATTGTCCAAGGGACTATGACAGATCCCACAGATGACCACAGTGTGGGTTTGTCCTCAAGGAATTTATAATCTGAGAGCGAGACCCTCAGCTTACCATGATAGAGGGCTACTGATGAGAAGGACTTGAGCCGAAAAGTGTTAACTCAGGGTTTCTGGAACCTTCTACATTCCTCTAAGAGGCTGACTCTTGGCTGGCTTCTAGGAGCTAAGTGCTGAGTCTTCAAAATGTTCTGCTTAACTGAGAGTGGGACAGCGTTTTAGTGTGCTTGGTGCCTTGCCTTCCACATGGTATGACTTTGACCAGATAATTTATGCTACTAATGCTATTAATTGCAAACCCTTGTTTTTGGCCTGGGAGAATGTTGGGGCATGCGTAGCTGAGATCAGTTACATGGCTGTAGCATGTCTATACAGCAGACGCCAATGGACAGGCTGGACATGGAGGTTTAGAAGAACTCCCTTGCTGGCAGCTCTTTGCATCTGTTGTCGCAAATCCTTCCTAGAGAACTAAGGACATCTGTGCAACCGCACTGGGACGGAGCACCTGGAAGCTTGCACGCATTTCTCCTGGACTTTGTTCTTTGTGCTTTTCCCCTTCCTGATCTGAATTCATCCCTTCACTGCACTGAGTCACAACTGTGAATCTACGGTTTCTGAGTCATGTTATCCCTTCCAGTGTATCATTGAGCCTAAGGGTGGTTGTGGGGACCAGAGTGCAGTGCGTTATGAGGAAAACTTATCAGAGAGCTGTGGGAAAAATCCCTTCACCCATGAACAAAATAATCTTTCACCACATTATCCCAGGAGTGAGCTCTATACCTCAGTGGGTCACGCCTGGATTCACATGTGATTTCTCTTCCATGCACATCTGACATTTCATATACATGGACTGAAAGGATTCTTGCTTGAGAAATGTATTTTGGACCCTGTGATATAAATAGAAAGCCTCTTGGGATAAAATGCCTTTAATTTTAGTTCGATTTCGGCTTCAGAGTTAACACCTTCCTTAGCTTATACCTATATTAAAACTAAAGCAAACCTCTAGCTGTGTCTCAGATTGCATTTCCAGATCATGGCTTGTGCTCGTGTTTTTTCCCTGAAAGTCTTCAGTTCTTTAGGGTCCCCACTCCCCTCTCATTTAAATGACTTCCTTGTAACTAAAAAAGCTGAGCTCAAAGGTTTCTCCTTGGAAATGGCACCAAATGTCACCAGGCAGCAATAAATTCTCCTTTCCCATTTCCCCCTCCTTACCAGACCATGGAGTATTGCATTTTAACAATTAGTATGCACTATTCCTTGTTAAGTTTTGATGTGTCTGTTTCCCGTGTAGTCTGTGAGCTCCCAGGTGCCAGACTAAGCATGATTTGAGTCTTCATTCAAACTGCTTAGCAAGGTTCTTGACTTGCAGTAGTCATCAAGGAGTGTTTATTAAACGGAGGCACAGGTACCGGCTCTGTGGAAGAAAGACACTGGGCCCCAGGAAGATGTCAAGGATAACTCTCATCAGGACCATTTATTGAGTCTTGATACAATTTACATGAGCCCTGCAACGCTAGTAAATGGCCATGATTAGAGAAATCCCCCCACATGCTTGTATTCTAGAACATGGTTTATCGCAAGGAATAAAACCTGCAAGACTTAGCTGAAACTCATGAATACCTGCTACCTTGTTTACCTCTGATAGGGCCAGACAAACATTGATCCTCCAAATTCCAGTAATTTGTCTCATTAATGATTAGCCAAACTGTACTCACTGGTCAACTGGAACAAAATACTTATTAGCCCAAGTTGTTAGCATTCTATCTTTTGCTTGGGCCCTTGAACAGTGACTTGTTCTCAGCTTGATACAGTATGCAGCCTCCCTTAAGGGGGCCCTCCTGAGGAAAAGCTAATGAGGAAACATTCTGGTCTACCATGTGGTCACGTCACTTTGATGCTTCACCCTGTTGATCCCATTTCCTCAGCTTTCATCCTTTCTTTTTTACTTTTTAAACTTTTCATTATAAAAGAAAATGCACTTTTCCCTAACTACTGGGACAGCAGCAGATTTCATGGTTGGAGAAGAACCAATGGCTGCCATCTCCACTGAAATAATAGCTCCCGTCTCCTGCAATAATCAGTTTAAATAAAGTCCCTTCTTGCCGATATTTAGCTCTTATTTTTCTTTGACAGTGCTCTTGGGTGAATGGAGAACTTTTCACTACACAAATATGCCCACAGCTTTTTATTAGTGAATAAAGTGCCAGTGATTGTCCATGCTTTATTTGAATACATTCTAGTAATGCATTCCCCAAATTCAAGGAACATTGACCTGTGACCCTTATGAGGTTATCTCCAGTTCATGTACCCTCAGATTGGTTAACTGCCAGGCAGACTCCTTTTTTTGGTTTTGTGTATTTTTCCTGTCCCCGAGACTTAATGGAAAGGTTACTGCCTATGGGCCTAGGTAAAATAAAATTTTGATTCCTACAGAAAGTCTGTAGACCAGAGACTACAGAATTCTCCTTTAACCCTAACATGTCATAGAAACTCAGGCCCTGGCCCTTTAGTGCCTCAATTACATTGGCAGCTTGCAACTAGTTTTGACTTTTTTAACCCTAAGGATCACTTGGCAATGCTGGGAGGTACATTTGGTTGTCACAACTGGAAGGACTCAGTTATTGGCATCTAGGGGGGAAGTCAGGGATGTGACTGAACATCCCATAATGCACAGGACAATCCCCTGCAGCAGAAAATGACCCAGCCCCAAACATGAACAGTCCCGCAGGTGAGAAACAGTAATTTACATGGATGTCACTGCTTCTAACAGATGTCATAAAACACTTATTCAAGCATTGAAAGCGACACAGCAAAACTTACCTAAGGGATACATCTACATTCACCTAATCACATCAGGACTATTTTTTTCTATGAAATGTTTAACGATTTTAGGAAAAATGATCAATAATTTGGCAACAGAAATTTATTGATTGTTTGCAACAGTAGTACAACATATACAGCTTTATCACATGGTTACAATCCAGTATTTGTGCTTTGTAAGATAAGTAAACATTTATTTGAGCATGACAAAAAGCTACACATAATATTCTGAGATTGTTTAAAAATAAATATATCCTTTTCCATTTAGTAGCACAAAGAAGCACATTTCAGTCTGAGAAGATGGATGGATTTTAAATTTGGTTCATGTGTCAAATTAAACATACAACCTAAATTTGGACTATTTGTATAACAAATGCCCAGTGAACACTAGACAAGATTCCTGGCATGAGTTGATAGGGGGGAAAGTATGGCTTACTAGGAAGCTTTCTTAGCATTTGAAAAATGTGGATGATTATGCAATACCAGCATCAATAGTGTAGGGCTTTGTTTACATTTATAATATCTTTGCAAAATTTAAAAACAGAGTACAAGCACAGTATTTCAGAAGATGCTTAGTAAACCTCTTCGATCATTTAGTTGGAAGGAAAGAAAAACTTAATAGGTAGATGTTAGATACTTTTAGTTTCCACAAGAGTAAATTTCTGTTATTAAAATATTTTAAATGTGATAGTCTTTTTATGCCCCAAACCCAGTGCCAGTATCATTGCGTAGAAATCCTGTCATCCTGAATGGTCATGCCTAACACAGCTTTTTACCCTATGTCTATCACTATGAAGGTCATCAAAGCAGCATATCAGCAATGGGAGTGTCACCACCTTCCTGATACAACAAACCACCAGGCTCAACATCAACGAGTGACTTTCAAGAACAATATCTTCCTGGTTTATTAACATCTAAACTAACTCAATATATTATTTATGATAATAGCCTCACCATAATTTACAATAAAAATAAAATGAAAGTTTATATTTAATATAATTCAATACATAAGCAGATTTTAATCTCAAAAAACTATTTTTTTTCTTTTTAGTAAGAAAGCTTTCCCATAGGCTCAGAATTCCATAATCATTTTGCCCAGGCAATATTTTCATGGAAACAAGGAAATCATCAATCTCCCACTCCCTCAGTTGAATGCTGTTAGTTTTTTAATTACCAAGGAGCTTAGAGATTGTTGGGAAGCACTGGAATATTTATCAATGGATTGCAATGAATGAATGACGTAACTCAGTAGAGGACATGGATGCACTACTGCATGTCTGCTCATAGCTACTGATTCTGGTGTGAAAGTGAAAATGTTTTGTATAAACTTGGAAAGTTCTTATCCATATCCTAAATGTTTGCCTGGGCTGGCAGTACAATAAAAGTTACAGCATAGTTTATAAAATTTTATTTTCACCAGTGAATTCATGTCAAGTTGATTCACATAATTGGAGACATTTTCTATCATTTTATATTATTGAACGTATATGAGTCCAGTTTCCTGGACCATGGGACTAGTTATAAGCTTTTTAATTTGGGCATCCACTGAAGTATCTCTTTTGCCAGCCATTCCAATTCAGGATCTTTTGAACATGTTGTATTGATTTGTACAGGTCTATATTTTGGCTTCTGTCAGTTATTCCTCGTACCTTGGACTTGAGCAGTAGGTTTTTTTATAGTGCTGCTAATATGATGTGATGTACTGATAAAGTTCAGAGCATTGAGCAAAGCACTGTTATCTAAGGAAAGAAATACTCCCCAGGGCAAAACTGCCTTATCCCAGTTCCAGGAGCCAGTCAAAGAGACTTGGGATCCCCTCTTTCCGCTCCTCATGCATTTTGCAGTACTGCACGACTGCGTGAAAGATATCCCCGACTTTCCAGGACTTCCGGTGGACCAGACGAACGACATCTAGAAACTGGAATGAAACACAGAGTTAGGACTCAGGGCATCACAGTGTCCTTAAAGGTCTGCCACTCAAGTGGCTCTCCAGTCTATGTGTGAGTGTCTAGTCCCAGGCTACCTTTTCCAGGACAGTCTATTTCCTTTTTTTTTTCTTCCGGTACCGGGAATCGAACTCATGACCTTGCACTTGCAGAGCAGGTGCTATGCCACTGAGCTAAATCCCCAGCCCCAAGTCTATTTCCTTTTTATCTGTTTATTTTTTAAAATATTTTTGGAGGCAGTGAACAGCTTTATTTTACACCAGTGGTCCTGGCTGGCTTGCTCCTAACAACAAAGAAAGCCAGGCCCTCTGCTTCAGGTGGTCTAGGGTTTTTACAGACATTTGAGGCAGGAAGTACAGAAGCAGAACTGAAGGTTTTTGATAGGGTAGGACAGGTTATTTCCTTTTTAGACATTTGTTATAAGAGAGTTCATTCCACTGAACTGGAATTTTCCTCAAAGCAGTTTCCATGGGAGCTGACTGGTACAATGAGGCCAATCCTTTTTTCTTAAGCCAGTCTTTTACATATTTAGTATATCATCAGGTCTGCTTGTCTTTGGTTCAGATACCCTGTAATAGGACTGTACAGCATGACTTTCCTCCTTTCTACCACAGATAATTTCTCATTGGATACGCATGTTTAGGCCAAATAAATTAAGTGCTAAAACTTCAAGCCATGTCATTCCATCTAGAGAAGCATCTGTCCTCCTCTGCTTGACCTAAGCAAGCATCAGAAGAGTTTTCCCCAGTGACAGGGAGAGGAAAGATTGAAGTCACCGGGTTATCAGGATGAGCTTCATTTTATATTATGAATGATATATATTATCACTTTATATTATGAACATAAAGACAAAGTTCTAGCTTGCAAGCAACTTGGAGGCTTGGGGGAACAGAAGACGGGGGAATCACTACTGGGGAAATCATTATGTTCCTGAAACTGAAGGATAAAATCCAGTGTGCAGGCTTCTTAAACTCTTCAGTCAGATACTTTTTAAGGTAAGTAACGTTAAGAACCAAAGGCTACAGAATGTAAGCCTGAGGTTTCAGAATACCAGTCTCCAGGGGAATGAAAGCATTGAAAGTTTAAGGCATCTTTGCATGGTTCAATTTATTGGCCTTTCCCCAGCGTACTGAAGACCTGTGAAGCAGGTGTTCCTGAGGAAGAAGACCTGGACATCAAGTTCTGAGGACTCACTGAGAAAGGTTTATGCAGGTGTCACTCACTACTCTCTCAAGATTCCCCTGAACAGTGGCCAGTGACCTTCATTTAAGGTCATCCCTTATGGGCACATCTTCTCCCTTTACATGTCTCACAAATGTTCACTCATGCAAAGGGTACAGACATGTAAAAGCAGCCTGAGCTCCTTTCTATATTTTTTTCTGCAAACTCTAGCTTACTAGGCCATTGCTTGATGAACTTTCATCTCAGAGTAATTGCCTGGGGAAGGAAGAAAATATTCACTAGACCCTTCCTAGAAGGTTTGTTGCCCCAGACATTTCTGAAAGTCAAACTTCAGCTTCCTTCCATTTATTTGGACTCTGTCAGAGGACGCTGTCTGTGGTGATGACCACAAGAGGCTGATGACCGACTCAAAGTAGTGAAAGTGCCCTCGCAGTGAGGCCACTCTGCCAGTAGTTTGTGGAATGGCCACAGGCTAGGATCTGCCTCACGGTCTCTAACTCAAAGCTGACACTTCAATAGGGCATGTAAAAAAATGATCTGTCCTCAAGAAAAATCGCAAGCTCTGAGAATTTGATGACTTAATCTCAGACATAGAGACCTTGAAACCTATGTTGACCTGATGAATGAGAAGGTTGCATGCTTGCTTTATTTAAAAATATTAGATAAAAATGAAGCAGGATAATGCAGTCAGACAAGGACATTTGCAGCTTATCACTGTAGGCTTTTCCATCACATTCTGTTGAGCACCTAGAATTTACATCACACCTGTCTCAAGCTCAGTGAGCATTTGAATCAAGCTCAGTGGTTTGCCATTATCTTAATTAGCTTTGGTATGGGATGGATCTGAGCTTTTCTTTCCATTGTATTAAAAAATAAAAATCAAAACTTATTTCCTGATCAGCGTTAATTGGATTCCCTTCCATAGATCCAAGTCAGCATTTGTTGAGCAAAGTGAAATAATTTTGGCTGTCTCATTTGAAGAAAAACACTACATGGTAGATGACTTTGATATTCTTAGGTGCATTTAATAGATTAGATTATTCACAAACTCATATGGTATAATTTATGGCAGTTGCTGCAAGGCATGCAATTTTTTGAAAACCTCCAACTTAGAACTTCCGAAGCTAGCTACCATCTTTTGCTCCAAGGCAGAATGATTTCAGTCAGCACAAGTGCATTGGTTCCCAGATTGCTCATGAAATTATGGTTTATAGAGCCATGATTCTTAACATTAAGATGAGAAGTCCCTGACTGTAAGTCCCTGATGCTTGGGTCTTACACTCAAAGGAGATTTTGAACTGAGAGGTAAGAAAATCAGGTTTGTAGACATTTCTTAGTTAATTCAAACATTCACAGAGCTTGAGAATCCTTTGTAGAGAATTCAGTTGAAGATAATTCCTTATGTTTACAATTGAAAAGCCTTAGTATCTAATTCTTCCTTATATCCCCTCTTGTGGCATATTTCTTGATATAGCTAGTGGAATGGTTATTTTCTTAGAAAAAATAGTTTTAAGGAAGGACAAGCTTTCTCTTTGAGAATTGAAAATCAGATGGAGCAAACATATCTAGTCAGGACATGGTTTATGTAATCCAGGTGTTAGTAAAACATGCTTCACTCTTGTAACAGTCACGGATTTATGATATATTTATTCATATAATAATTATCTCTTCAAAAAGGGTGAATAGAAACAAAATCTATTTCATTGAGTTACCACCAAAAATGTGCCACTATAATTAATATTTGTATTTAGGGAAATGTAAAAGAAAAAGTTGGAAACCAACCCTGTTCATTTTTTAATGAACCTGGGAATATTCTTCTGATTTGCATATTCATGTTTCTCTCTCCATGGGACGGTGCATCACATGAGGTGGGGTCAAAGTGATGATATATTCTTTTACTGGGTTCTTTGCACTGGCATCCTAGGTGGTAAAACTGAAGGGGAGTTTATCAAAGGGTGACCCACGCATCACCTTGCAAACAAAGGCATGGCAAACAGAAGGGCATCTCGATTTAGCTGTCTAGATGAGCAGGTGGGCTTGTGCCTGAAAAGAGCTATATATTACTGGTTGATGAGAGAGGTGAAAGTAGGAAAAGGCTTGAAAAATAAATTAGATCTTGTTTCTCCAGTAGCTAATTGCATTGGCTTGTGCTACAGAGACAGGGAACAATTATGGGCCATAGGGTAAAGACAATTTTACCGCAAACTGCTAGATTTTGGAACTGAAAATTAACATGTAATTACTCACTAAAATTACAAATGATAATGCTAGGTCCTTTAACTTGAGAGAGACACTTTTTAATGAAGAGCAACTGTGAAGTATTTTATGAGAAAGTAGGGCTGGGGGACTTGGTTATACTATTGGAGGAATCCCTCACGCACCAGCCTCTCTGAGTCCCAATTTGCTCACTAGTGAAGAAGAGACAATGGGATCCATTTGCTGTCTTCATGGAGCTTCTAAGAGGTAATGCTACTCAGCAGTGAGTCAGTCCACTGGTGAGTTCATAGCTAAATGCAGTGTTGGGAGATGAGGCCTGGTCAGAGGAGGTAGTCACTGGGGACATTGCCTGGACTCTCCCCACCCTTGATCTCACTCTACTTTCTGTCTGACCCACCATGAGCTGTTCTCGGCCATGTCCTGTTGCCATGCTGCCCTGACTTGGGAGCCAGCCAACATGGATTAAAATCTTTACAAACTTTGAGGCAAAATAATCCTCTTTCCTTAAACTGTGAGTGTCAGGTATTTTGTCCCAGCAATGAATAAAGTAACTGAGACAAACCTTGAAGCCAGGAATAGTAAGAAACAGGATGTCCTTACTCCACGAATTTACATGGCAAAAGAAATTTATTAGTCAACATTAAGTTAGTCAAAAGAAAGACTATGAGAGCAACCTAATCTAATCCCACAGGCCCTTTAAAAGCAGATTCCTTTTTGCCTGGTGACAGAAGACATCAGAGAGACTGACAGGGTATGAACAAGAAGGGGCCATGACAAGAACTGTGGGCTGCCCTAGATGCTGAGAGTGGCTCTTGGTTGACAGCCAGCTAGGAGGTGGAAATCTCAGTCCTGTAAATGCCAGGGACGAACTAGGACGCTGACCCAAATGAACTTGGGTGCTTATTCTTTTCGGGAACTTTCCACGTAAGACCCCAGTCAGATTGACCTCTTGATTTCTGCGTTGTCAGTCCTGGGAAGAAATCAGAATCCCCTTTGCGCTTCTGACCTGCAGAGCTGGGCGTTGCTTTAATTTCATAAGTTTGTGGCAATTTGTTTAACAGCAGCATAAAACTGACACAGCATCATACATTTAAATTATGGGAACTGGACTTTGAAGATACGGGCAGGTGGGTTCATTCCTTAAACTTAATGACTGAGATTCTACCACAGTTTTACTGGTGAGTTTTAGGGCTCTGGAATTAGCATGGAAGTTGCTATTAATTACAATGTTGCCTGAGGACCTACTCCTTAACTTTTTATTTTGAGAAGATAGAGAATAATAAGGAAGTTCCCTAATGCAAACCCACTTAGTAGAAAATAAAAAATGTGTTTTCTTTGACTCCACTTCACAGCTTTCTTTCAGTGTCAGGGTGGCCTCATTATAGCTATCTGGTCACTTTCTCCTGTGTCTGCTTTAACATGTTCCTGCTGGCTTGAACCAGGGATGATATGTACATGACTGCCCATGCCGCCCCATGAAACAACCAATGGTTCAGACCTGCCTAGCAGAGAGATGCATGGGTTAAGGCCCCATCCTCATCCTGGTAAATGAGTATTTTGAAGCGACTGGACACTGAGCAAAAAAACATCGAAATACAATTTTGAACAAAATAACTTTGTTCAAAATAACTTCAAAAAAGTTTCCGTCTCCTCAATTTACTTTTCTTACCACCATCAACGAGTTAAAACACATAGTGTCAAAGGATCAATAATCAAGTGTGTATTTAAACAGAAGGTTTCATCCCAGCACTCGGGAGGCTGAGGCAGGGGGATCTCTGTGAATTTGAGGCCAGCCTGGACTACATAGTGTGTTCAAGTTTAGTCTCCTGAACAACATGGCGAGATGCTGTCTCAAAAAAAAAAAAAAAAAAAAAAAAAAGAAAAAAGGAAAAAAGAAAAATAAACAAACAGAAGGTTTCAAAGTTCTTTCTCCAGTTTTGAGGTCAAGAAAAGTCAAGATCTAACACTTCAAACTCTTGTGTATTAAGTGAGTTTTCAATAGTGATAAAAACACAAAGCTTTATTGATATCCCACCCAAACGTGGAACATGGTACCTTTTCAATTTTGTTTTCCTGAGATTTCTTAAAGTAGATTGTGGGAATCCCAAGCTCGGAGGCAGCTATCCATTGCAGAGTGGCTCGGAGCTCAGCATCCGGACACTCCGGTTCCAAGTCGAAATTGATCACCAGCAGGCTCCTCTGGTGGCTGGCTGCTGTCCCTGGCAGTCCAGAAGCTTGTTCTGAACAGATACAAGCACACTCTTATTCTGCTTTCCCATGGGAGATCCCAGGCAATTGTGTATCAAAATGAGTGGAACGTGACTTACCCTTTCTGCTTTCTGACTGTCCTTTAAGAATCTCCTTTTCTTCTACTAATTCACTTTGGGAGAAAACAACAGTATATGATTGGTGATGTTTAGGAAGCGTTAAGTGGTAAATGAAAGATGACGTGATAGGTCTGATCGACCTACAAGCTTCTGAAGTTCATCCTAGATTTCCCATTCTCATAGAGCAAAGTAAAGTGGGGAAATACAAATGTAGCATGACAAAAGATTTCTGGGTCTGCAATATACAACCCCCTCCACCATAGAGAAGTGGCAGTAACTTGAATGGCTTTAATTGGGGTAATAGGTGTGGGAGACTCGAGAGAGATTCTTTTCCCTCTTCAAATTTCTTTCCATAAACTTTCACAGAGTTAACAGTCGAGGAGGGATTTTGGGAAATCAGTTCTCACTTAGAAATTTATCTTCTTGCATTTTACTTCTCATTTCATGGACCTCACGTTTCCATGCTGTCACAATGCTTTTCCCATACTATGATAGCAACATGCATTTGCATTTTAATATAGGAAAATAGGTTTTTACATGTATATTGTTCTTTGACCTGAAATAAGGTTAAACATGAACTGATGACCTGTGGAACTTGGGCTTTATAGCAAACTATCTTAGTGGATTGAAACTATTCTTTTCCATTCCTTTTATTGTGAAGAAGTATAAGAGGGAAGAAGTATTTTAGAACTATGGAATCATAACTGAAGTACTTCTTTAGCTATCGTGATGTTTAATATTGGAGGCGTTTTTGCATGGTATGTACTTATCACACAGCCTTGAACTGAGCCTTGGGAGAACTCAGGAAAACAAAAAATGACAGCATATGGCACAGCTGCTGAAAGGAAGTGACCGTGTTGGGAAGCTTGTAGTTGGCCTGTGTTTTTATACTGTCTAGAAATTTGTAATTAGGGTCTGAAAAATATGTGTCTTGATAGAAGATTCTCTCATGTTCTCTGTTGGTATTTTATCCGGCTGACAAATTTCTTTGTGTTGATGAATTACATTGATGATAACTTTCCCTGATGTTGAAAGAGTTCTGAATGGTGAGTCTTTCATTTCATACCACTTGTTTGTAGAAATGTCCACTCCCTAAGGGTCTAGAATTTGTGCTGTATCTCATACAAGCGACACAAGTGACAAGACAAGTGGTAGTCAGTTTCTGCTGATTCGGGTAAGTGGGTGCTGAGTGTGGGAGGCGATGAGCTTGCCTTCCCTGTGCACGGATATTTCTGAAGCCATAGGCATCTGCTGCACAGAAAGAGGAGGAAAGTAGCTAAGTAAACATTTCCTGATGGAGGAAAATTAATTTACCACAAAGTAGATTCTTTTGGTTCTCAAAAAGGAAGGTGATGTGCATGCTCATTTCTGCTTGTGAAAGTGCCTTTGTGAAATGGGGAAGCCGGCCCCGAAACTTCAGTCACTGAGGATATACCTGATTCAGTGGAGTTAGCCATGAAAGACTGAGGAACAAGGTCCAGATGAGAATTTAGTCTTTAAACTTTTTTACTTTAAAATTTCATAAATATCCAAATAATAAATAAAGACTTCAATTCACTTAATTTTCCAGAGCAATCGCAAATTTTAGAAGTAATCCTGACCTTGCGTTGCCCTTCCTTTCTATGGCACATTTCATGTGGCACTGTGCTTCTCAAAGGAGTTTCTCCTTTGGTCTCTTTAAGTCTGCATATTGTGCAGAGCAGAGTCACTGGGTAGGGATGACCCAGCTTTGGCATGGAAACCAGTTTTTACTGCCACAGTTAGTAGTGATAATCCCAGGTGTCCACAGCAGTAGGGAAGCCATTCACACTTAATTCTATTAAAGTGATCGTATTCTATAGTGAAGGCTATTGAAAAGTCTTCCTTGAAAGAAAGAAGGCAGAGAAAATATGGATATATGTACAGAAGGATATCTAGGATAACTGTACTGCTGATGTCCAATGGTTTATTGAAAGGAACAGGTTATGCTTTTTTTTCTTGGCTAATTTTGCATGCTTATATCCAGTAATCTGAACAACCAATTTGAAGAGAACAATATGCAAGATAACAACTATTGTTGAATTCCTATCATCTTGTTTGCTGAAACTCTGTGTCATTTATAATTTTTTTGTTCTCTTTAATGGTTTGATTTATCTTGCATTCTTACATCTGGTAATCTGACCAACTTCAATGAAGATAAAAATATGTAATATAACAACAACTGTTAATCCCTATCATTTTGTTTTGAAACCCTGTATCATTCTTATTGTTTTGGCTTTGTTTTGTTTTTATCTATGTTGTTGGCATTTTGCTATTCTTTTTAAAATTCTCTTTAAAATAAAAAAAAAAAAGAAAAGTCTTCCTTGGTGGCAGGTACCATTTAAATGGTATTTTTGCTTCTATATGTACAAGTAGGTAAAATTGTATACACTACATAGATTGATAAGCCTTATGTGAAATGATTATTTCATAGGGAGCAGATTTGAAACCAAGAATGCAGGTGTTATAGGACGGGGCCTGTTTTAGGCCCGAGTCCTCGCTCCAGTGACACGGACCCACAGCAGCACAGACACAATGAGATCGGTGGTTAGGCACAACCTGAATGATCAAAATGGATTGCCAGATGGAATTGCAATAGTGGTCTCACAATCACTGCATCCCAGAGGCTACTTACTTAATCATGGGAGAAGAAGGCATGCTTTCCTGATAAATGTCCAGGTCCATAATGCCAAGACTGCTAGTGGCACTACTGTTGCCATTGCTGACAAAGCAAAAGTTTACATATTAATGCCCATCTCCACCCCCTGACCACGCTGCTGATGCTCACGTTCCATTGCTGTGGGAGGTCCTTCCCTTGGTCCCCAGGAGAGTATTGTTTTGTGGATACATATTTCCGATCACTTTGGGAAGGAACAGAAGACAGCAGCCTGCCAGGCTCAAGCCAGCCACATAACAGCAATAACAGTAATAATAACAACAGTTTTTAATTTCTGAAGTGATGTCACATATGGTGGATCAGACAACAACCAGCATTTCCTTTGCTTTCTCATTCTAGTCAAGGGGTACTATTCATTTATCAGTAAGAGACTTCCTTTTGCTGGGTATGTCTGCAGAGAAATTCCTGAAAATTTGCCTGGGAGATACCACATTGCTTTTCTGCTTGCATCTTGGAGAATTTGATAGAAAGTTACATTCTCTCTTTGCCTCTCAGGGGCTTTTTCTCAAGAACATTCCATAGGATTTTATAGTATGCATACTTGGCTTATTTTCCTATGGGTGAAAGAATTTATAGGCACAAAGATAGTATAATGAGAAAGTTTTATCTTTCCTTTATCTTACAATTTTCGAGGAGGAGCACCATTCAACACCTGATTAATTGTTAAGAAGGAGAGGGCCAGGGATGTAGTTCAGCGGCACAGCACCTGCCCAGCAAGCATGAGGCCCTGAGTTCAAGTCCTGGTACCAAAAAATAAAGAGGATCATATTTTGCATCTCTTTTGTGGATTGCACAATTAGCATGTGCTCTACTTACTAAGGTGGCACTTAGTAGAGTTGAGCCAAATTTTAGGTTCTGCCTGTACTTGTGAAATGAAAGTATCCGATTTTACCAAACTCAGTGAATCTCCTCTCACCTTCTCTATTTCACAGGGATGTCTCTTCCAAGTGAGGTTTTGGAAGGACAACCGCTGATGTGCCACATAATGGAATAATATTCCTTCAGTACCCGCCAGATGCTCTCAATTATAAATTCCTGGCTGAAGTTCCACGTGCCTCACTCAGTCTATTCACAGATTGCAATGTGATGAGTCAAAATTTCCCTGGAGGTGATTAACCCTATAAACCGCTGTTAAAGCCAGAGATTCAGAGTCTCTCCGCTTTTCGTCTCTATTTTGTGTCATTTCCTACCAGTTTTTGGAATTTGAGACACATTGTTTAACATTATGAAATGTTCCTATGTGTAAACAGCCTGAGCTGCCAGAAATAAAACTACCCAGGATCCCTGTGTACACTCAGAGGCTTTGGCACGTCGCTTTCCATTTGGCTTTCTCTGGAAATCCTGTGGACCTGTTGGCCCAGTGGCAAATACACTGTAAGACTTTGAACAAACACAGAGAGATTCTTTTAGAGGTTCTGCCTCACAGAGGAATAGCCTTTAGTTTGTGTCTGCTAATTGCTCAAGCTCTTACAAATCTGATGTCTCCTAAGCAACTCTATCTGTTCTAGAAATACAATCCAGAGGGCAGGGCAGATAAAGGGAAAAACCAGGCCAAACAACACAACACACTGTGAAAGCACTTGCCTCATGTAAACTAAGCCTGTGTCACATCTGAAATGCAAATGAACCAGAGAGGAAGTTGAAACACACAGGTGTAATGGCAGCTCTCCATTTACAAAAAAAATCACAGTGCTAGTGCTAGGTACTAGCTGGGGCTTTCAGGGAAGGGAATGTGGCTACCTCTCATCTTTACTCAAGGAAATCGGAGGCATAAGTGGATACAAAAATATCTTTCAGCGTGAATCATGACAGGCAGAGACCTTGACCTAATGGGAGTCTTCTTTTCGCTTTTTCACTCACTATTTGGGTGACTTTGCACAGAACTAGACAATGCATTTCTTGGACCCCTCTGTGAAGACCACTTTTCCTGGTAAGACAAATGAACAGCAGGTACCTCATGGATCGTTCGCTGAGCTGCAGAAAGCTACTTGTGTCATCTGGGATGTCCTCTTCATTGGCTAGCTGGGACCAGCTGCCTGTACTCTCCTCACTGCTGCTGGGAGGGCTGGGAAACTCGCTGGGGACTCTGCCTTCTGTGGTGGCTTCAGCTTCTGGTCCATCTCTGGCATCAAGATTGTCACTGTAGACAGCAAGACATTATTAGCAAGAGGGAAGGCACAACATGGAACCTTTCACAGAGACCGCACTGCACATGGCTGATTCTAGGTCTCCACCATACTGAGCAGAATGTCACTGGACACAGGTGGAACCTTTCTTTTGGCTGATCTTTCCTTTGGAGCCTGTTATTATTTACATTTGAAATGTACCCCTAAATTCTCAGGCATTCAGAGGTGGGGCTTTTGGAAGATGGTTGGATCTTGTGGGCACTATGGATTCATCCATTGATGAGTTCATATTTAGATGTGCTATGAAAAGGTGAGGCCCCTATTGGAGGAAATGGCTCACTGAGGCTGTGGTTTTGAAGGGTGTACCTCTAACTCTGGCTTTTCCTATTCTTTCTGCTATTGGCTTCCTTGAAGTGAACAACTTAGTCCCAGCACACTCTTCTATCATGATGTTCCTGCTTTGGAGCCAGCTGACCATGGACTGAGACCTCTGAAATTGTGAGCCAAATAAACATCTCCTTTTTTAGGTTGTGGAAGTTAAGCATTTTTCCTCGGGTATGGGAAAGCTGACCGATACAGTGCCCTAGGAGATACTTTGCGTTTTCAGGATTACTCTCCATCAGTTTTCTCAAGTCTTGTACTGAATGCCTGCACTGATTTGAATCACAAGTTGAAGGAACTTGGAGTGCATACATAGACCTTATTAAGGGGCGATAGTGTTTAAAATGAAGATACACAAAGAATTATCCCCAATAACTTTAATTCAGTGGTTCTAGAGGGAAGCCCAGGAATCTGCAATTCAGTCAACAACCCCTGGTCGTTCTCATGTGATATGGGGACCACACTGGGAGAAAAGTACTCACCACAGTTCTGTTCCTTTCCCCAATCATTTTTCCTGCAAATACCTTTTAATGCACTTTGCACTTGAAGGGATATTTTACACTGTCCTCTCTCTCTGAAACCTCTGGTTTATATCAGCATCACTTCTTGGAATTAGTGCATTTTTAGACCGAATACCACTCCAGAACACTTAGCATTTGATCTGACATCATTGGTCCTTAAAACCTCTCTTCCATGCCTTCCTATGAATTTCTGCTTCTCTGGTCACTCCTTGCCTAAAGCCTAGCTCTCTGTTTCTCTGTTAGGTGTCACTGTGGCCCGTTCTGATTGCTTCACTATCTCTTTTCCACAGCCTGTCCCCAGGCAATCTTATCAGTTCTCCTGTCCATGTAAATAGCCTCAAAACTTGGACCTTAGTCAAGACCCTCTCTCCGGATTCTGGGGATCCTTTGTCAGCTGGTCTTCTGAACATTTCCTGTCTGTCTGATCAATACCTCAGAATACATATCTCAAACAAATTCTGAGTGCTCTCCCATGCTCTTCCTGTTTCTTATTTTCAGTGATTCCTTTGGGTGTCTGGGCTTAAAATGCACTCTTCTGATTTCTCCTTCTTGCCTCTTATATCCAGTTACTCAGATCTTTAATTTCATCTCTGTCTCCAACGTGTTTACTTATAACTGTCTCTTTACTCATGAAATTAACTTAGTTTCTTCTAAATTGCTACAAATTTAGGTTTGAAAGGAACCTCATAGGTGTGCTGTAGATGTTGACATAGAAACCCAGTGAGGAGGAAGGATTTATTCCAAGTTGCAGCAGAACTGGTACCAAACTTTAGAACCCGTGTTTTGAGACTTGTGTTCCTAAAACATGCCCAAGATTTTTTGTCTCCTGGCTTTTGCCTACTTGCCTTCTTTGATCAAAAGTTGGAAACATGAATGCTGTGAGCCTTATCCCTATCATTAGATTCTACAGATTCCAGTTCTACTACTTGCCTCCTATTCAATTTAAAAAAGTTAATCAACCTCTGTAAAAATACTACTACCGCCACCACTACCATCACTATTACTACTACTGCTACTAATTACATTCTCACATGGAAGTTTGGAAGAAATAAGTTAGAAAATAAAATTTACTTAATTTAGTGTCTGTAATATGAGTGTTCAGTAAGGGTTGGCATTCTTTATTAGTGAATTAAATAATTCACTAGGGATCAAACGTCTAAACAATAATATATGCTTTTACTTATTATTATTATTCAAGGCTCAGCCAAGAGATATCCATTTCCCTAAAGCCTTTCTTAATATCACCAGCGCTCTCCTACCCCAATTGTCAAAATAATTATCTGTTTTTCTTTTTAGTGACACATAATGCTTCCTAATTTGGACTTTAGTGTGTATAGTTATCTGTATTTATGCTAGACATTATTAGGCACTTTTATACTGTCTTATACATTAGAAGGAAAAGGTAAGGCTATGGGCATCTCATGTATTCGTTAGATGAATATATTGCTAAGTGTTTAATTTTATAATTAGACTTATATTTTCAATTTAGATCTACTTGTTAGATCTGAAATTGTGAAAGATTTGAGATGTGTTACCTGCAAGCCAAAAATATTTTAAGTAACAAGGGCATTAAAGTGTGGCAGTTTTTAACATGCTGTGGAACTGTCACTGGGTGAAAGCAGTCCTTAATAAACAGGATTGCCCATTTGTTGCCTGCTATAGTTACACACACACACACACACACACACACACACACACACACACACACACGACCAGGGGGTGGGACACACAGACACTCACAGACCTGCTTACATCAGATCTTCTCTCCCTAATGTACACTATATGTGCTGTGCAGTTTGAACTGTTGGGTATCAACCCAGTGCTATGGAGCAGGGCTCATATGGGGCTTTCTGACACATCTGCCTTTCCTCTTCCCCGGGGAAGACAGGAAAGGAAACAAGGAAAGAGATCAGGGATGGAGGAAGAAGAAGATAGAGAGAGCAAAAAGGGAGATGAAATGAGAGAGAGACAGAGATAGAGAGAGAGAGAATTTGCTTTAGATTATAAATAAATTGTAATCTTCTGCAAAGTGGAGGGGTGGTCTCTACTTCACCACTCTAGAATGTTTAAGAAAATAACCCAGGGACACACACCTCTGTATCTCTACCTCTAGGGTCAGGATTCAATCACCCTTTAATCCAACTGCCAGTGTTCTTTGCCCATGAAACCCTGAGTGTCCATAAATGCGAACCTTGGTACCTTGTCTCCTGGTATCACCTACAGTACAATCAAAAGCTAATAGTGCAACTGTGGTGCACACCTGTAATTCCAGCTCCTTAGGAGGCTCAGGCAGAAGGTTACACATTCAAAGCCAGCTAGGGGACTCAGTGAAACTCTATCTCAAAATTTAAAAAAAAAGGCTTGGGGGTGCAGCTGTGTGGTAGAGCGTTCCTGGGTATGATCCCCAGCACTGCAATAAGCAAAAACATAACCAGTAGTGTTGGAATAGTGGTTGCTGGAATGCTTTTCTCTGGGTCATTTCACACTCACAGCAGAGAATGTTGTCTACTGTCTGTACCTTAGGAATTATCGTTGGACAAAGAATTGTCCTGCCAAAGGTTCCCTGCAGGATGTTCTGAGGTCTCCGTTGAACTACATTTGAGGCACCCTTTTCCTCTGCCAAATCTAGCCCTTTTCAAACTCCCTCTCTCTCACCTCTAAGAAAGAGGATATAAAAACCGTGGATTGTAACTTGTTGTGTGAGTGTTCTGCAAGACGAGCAAATATTTCTAATACATTTTAACTTAATAAATAGCAATGTCTTGCCATATGAATAGTACACGATGCCGAACATCACATGATCACAGCTGAGCCAATGGTACATTTCTCCCTCTCTCTCACTGAGGGATTGTGAGTGATCTTAAGAGGTTATGATAAGATTTTGTCTACAGAGGAGGAGGAGAAAAAAAAGTGGGGAATCCTTCACTTCAACTGGGATTAGGAAGATGTGTAAAATGTGGGAAACAGTGTGAAATGTTGTAGAAAACCACCACCCAAATAAGGCTGTAGCAGCATGAGCAATGAATCTGTTTTGTGACCATGCAATGTCACATTTCTATAAAGTCCTCAAAACGAGGCCAAAGCAAGTGTCATTGGATAGGTTCCTTGTTAAAGCTGCATGAAAAGAAAAGAATCAGATTCCACTAAGCCAGTAGATAGCAGTGATTACATTAGCGATAGGGCAAGTCATCCTACATAATAACCCTCCTCTCTCTTGTCTCCCTCACACCAGCCACATAGGTTTTCAAAATAAGTGCAGGTTGATTTATTTATTTTTATTTTGTATTTTTTATTATTGTGTATCATATTACAATATTATAATCATTTTATATAAATATTTTTGAGTTGTGGAATGAATCGTCTGACTTTCCACTATGTATGATTATAAGCAGCTAAGTTAGATAGAAATTAATATACAGTCAGAGAGGGACTGGGTTTTCAAGGAAGTCTGCACAAAAACAAAAATGTCAGAATTGTGGTTGGAGTTGCATCTGAAGAAGGCCAGGCCTCAAGGTGAAGATGCAATGGCCTGGTCTCCGTGCCTCCCTAAGGTGTAATCAGTAATTTGATGTTGTATTGTAACTAGCACCACCTTGTCCAGTGCGTCCAGATGGGCCTCAGTTGCCCAGGTGGATGACCAGAGCATCTGATTCCATTTCCTCCCAGAAATGTCTTTGTTTCCTCCATGTACCCTTAATATGGGACTCATTTCCCTCCTGGACCAATATTAGCTAAGCAGCTATACTTGTAAACCTATAGGCTGAGTGTAGATTGATGCACATTATACCCACATTGTGACTTTGCTGTATAAATTGCTCCTGACAAGCGGACTCAGTGGCCACCCTATTTGGGACCCATTATGGAAATCCAGGAACTATTCACTCCTTATTTCCATTAAAACTCTCCTAACTTTTTCCTTTGGTTCACAACTTCATTCTTTGATGTTGTGGGACCACAGACTCAGCGCATGTGACATCTAACAGGTCAAGAGTTATATTTTTCCTATATCATTATGGGGAAATTCTTTCCGATATAAGTGCATTGGATTAAAAGCATGTTTCCAGAATGACTTATGCTCTCAAATCAAGTTTTTACTGTATAAGGACTCTTCA